ACTCCAGGCGGCCATCGCCATCGGTAACGACCACGTCACCAAGCCGCGCACGAAGCACATCCGGGTACGCCACCACTTCGTGCGGGAGCTCATCGCTGACGGAACCATTGTGCTGCAGCACTGTCCCGGCACGCAGATGGTTGCCGACGCGCTGACCAAGGCACTGGACAAGCAGACCTTCGAGCAGCACCTGCCACGACTGGTGGGAACCTCGACGGCTGAGACGGAGCAGAGGAAGGCAGTTGAGGGGGAGTGTTGAGATTCAGTGAGTTTCTGTTCTGTGTTAAGTCCTTCCTAATTTGCCTTCGCGTGTGGTTTTGTCTTGTTTGCCAACAACACCTGCTTTGTGGTTTTTCCGTTTGCAAACATTCCTTCCTCTCTGCTGGTATGCATGTGTGCCAACTGCCTCTCCTCTCCTGCTTCCCCTACACACGTGAGTTGTGTGCCATGTGTGTGTGTGCATGCCCGTTATGCTTGGCAAATGCCATGCCTGCGTGCCATGCAGTGTTGTGAAGTGTTGTCTGTTGTGTATGCTTGCCTGCAAGCATTCATGCCATGCCTAGCACTGCTCTGCGCGCATGTATGCATGCTGCTCATTGTTTAGATTGTTTGTGTTCGTGCACTCTCTGCCCATGTCGCCTTGGCAGCGTCATTGACCGTGTGCACTTGTCTTGTATTCGTTTGAGCGTGCTGCCCGAGTTGATTTGGCAGCAGCTTGTTGTGCTTGTTCATTCTTCTTGTGTTCTTGTTTGTTGCGTTTGCCTACAGTAAACACACACACCACCTGTCGTGTCTCAACAGCTGGCATGGCCCAGCGCTACGTGGAGCAGACTGCTTCGGGATGGAGGCGCGCGTGCTCTTGCCAAGCGCACATGGTCCACATGTGACGATGTGCTTGGAAGAGGCCTGGGCGATCTGCTGCCGAATGGCGTCGACAGCCGCGCTGCTGCGATGGCCTAGCACGTCGTGTGCAGAGGCGCCCTCGTCAGCATCCTCGGCTTCCCCATCGCTGCTGTGCACGAGCTCCCCCGCAAGCGCCGTGGCTTGTTGGGAGGTCGTGGTGCTGGCGTAGAGGAAGAGGTGGCCGGTGTCCTTGGACGGCAGCAGAGGCACACTCCATGTGGCAAACTGGATGCGGCTGTCGTCCGCAGCAATGACGACGGAAGCACCACGACGCGCGCGAGTCACCAGGTTCAGCGCCAAAAGGTTGTACTTGATGTCGGGGACATGCAGCACGTTCTTCAGCGTGATGGTGCCTGGAGCGCCGTCGGTGCCAGTCACGCGGAGCACGGCGTCGCCCTTGCCGATGACCGTGACGGCCTGGCTGTTGGCAACGGTGACGTGCTGCGTGACGGCGATGTAGTTGGTGAGGAGGGAGGCGTCGTTGGTGATGTGCGCCGTGGCACCGCTGTCAGCGAGCCACAGCTGTGGTGGCACTGGTCCGATGGCGTGGCCCTCCTCCTCGCCCTCGGGCTGCAGCATGAGGGCATCGTGGTGGATGGCGAAGGTCTCCACGCGCTGAGGGCCGTGGCTGACGACGGCCGCCTTCTTGAATGGAGCTGCTCGTCCGTGCTGCGGGCGAGAGGATCCTGGCCGCTTGCCGTTGCCGTTGCCGTGGTTGCGAAGCGTAGCCA